TTCATCGGTCCCTCTCGCAGTTCCAGCCAGCAACCCGGAAAGGTAGGTCTGCCCAGGCTTTAGGTGCCTGAAGGACGTCCTCCCTTTGGTTCATACTTTCGAAGCGTATGCCCTTTTCCTCTGGTGCGTCTAAACCGGCGGTTCGGCTAGTGTGTCCCCTACTAAAGAACCTGGTCCTACAGTTCTCCAATCTCAGGTTCCAGTTCGAATTCAGCCTTTCATGTAATACCGTCAAAGATCACTGCTATTCCCCAACTCGGGACTTGCCAAGCAGGTTCCAGAATCTTCTCGTTTTTCGGTATTACTAACACTATCGGGACATTCTATATCCACTCAGTAGTACGCAGATGCCCAACAGTGACAACTTTCCAATACAGAGCATTGGTGTGACCTGAAGTTACAGGTTAATTTAAGCCCCAACTTAATAAAGATCCGTTACCATAATGCAAGCCTATTTTTCAAACTTTTGTCGTCCGTGGGATTTGAACCCTAGACCTGCTACTTGGAGAGGTTGATGACTTGACCACTTCACTAAGCCGCCACACCTCTAATTATTACAGTATTAAATCTATTACAGAATTAAATCTATTACAGAATTAAATTTATACAAATTAAATCTATTACAGAATTAAATCTTTAGATCTATTACACAGACTGTACTGTTGGAGAATTTCTGTAATACATAAGCACAGTTGTTGATGATTTTCGGGAGATAGGAAATTTTATATGTGAACCGGGTGACCCATATGGATGACCTGTTGGAGGTGAGCTGGGTGACCCGTTGGAGGTGAGCCAGGTGACCCGGGTGGACAACTGATCCATTTTTCACCTGGGTGGCACATGGCCTACCCAACAGGTGATCCAGGTGGCGATTTTTTAGATAGGTCAAATCATTAAATATACAAAAAGAGCACAACTCTTACATAGCTAGTTTATATAAACAATAGAGTGTTGATCCCAAGATTAAAATACAGAATGCAATACTGTATAATTTCAAGAAACTAATGTGACAGACTTCAAAGCCCATTGCTAAAAGTTATCAAAAATAAATCAGATTTGCAGCAACAATAGCAAATACAATCATGACATATAGGAATATAGTGAGAATCAAAACAGTTTGACAAAATCAAATAGCCTATTATATAACCAAGTTAAGGAAAAGACTAAACAATAATAGCGAAGTGGGCAAGATGATATAGATTAGAGTACAACAGGCCCAAATCAATTGCAAAAGCATATAATATAAATTAAAGCTAGATACTAAGAGGCTTAAAAAGATTCAACTAAAACAAAATCTAGTTTACAAAATCTTAGTCGTAGCTAAAGAGTTGAATTTAAGTATAAAATCAATTAAAATTAAAGATAACTTGAGACTCGTGAAGTCAGGTATAAAAATTATAGACCTTTTAGATCAGTGTTGTTAGCTGGAAGCTGGAACTTCCACTGGACGTTCAGATTTTTCTAGTGTTCCAGTGGTTCCAGTTAAGATTTTTTTTACTGGAATGAATATTATATCACCAATCAAAATGCAGGACTATGATCATATATTTCATATCAATATCAACCAATCAGAGAACAAGTATTATATATTTATATATATAATAAATTTGTTCATTTATTTAATAATTCTTTTAAAAAATAGAAAAATAGTACAATACGTAGCGATAGAATATGAATAATACGTAAAAAAAAAAAAAAAAATTATTTAATTTAACTTCAAATCAAATTTAAACAGAGCTGTGTTACTTATTTTGGGTTAAATCTGTACTTGTAGTATGGTTAAGATTAAAGGCTTTAGGTAAATTTCCTATATTAAATATTTCAGTATTTTATGAAGCTGTGAGAATTGCAATAAGTTTGTTAATACTACAATTTTATCAAAAGCTAACCTTCGGAATTCATATAGCTTGGTTTTTCGAAAAGTGGGCTGAATAGACTAATCAACTCCCACTTTGCTCTATGGTCAATTGCTGAATACGTATAATTACTTAACAAATCACTATTCATAATATATTCATCATTCTCACGGTCCACTTCTTCTTCTTCTAACATAGCAGTTTCTTCGTCAAGTAACATTTGCTTCTACTTTTGTAATCGACTTTCCCATGCTATTGTATCTGATATATTAGGTTCAGAACCTTCTCTAGAATTGTTTTTTTCATTCGATTCATCTTGATTATCTAATTCATTTTGTTCAGGTTCAACACTTTGATATGCTGGATTATTAGAAGGCTTGTATATTTTTTTTGTTGAGTAAAGTTAATTGAAGCACGTATTTGGCACATGACTAACACTTTTTTATTCTAATAATTGTAAAAATAAATAAATCAAAAACAATATCGTAATTGAATATAATAATTTATAGTAATACTCACTTGGAGACGATTTCGTCGGTTAGTATAAATAAATCCCATTGAACTCCATAATCATTCTACGGATGCTGCATTAACACAGATCCCAAATAGCTGTGTAGTTAAAGGTCCTAATTCTTTAGTCGAGGGGGAGGCAAAGTTCCAAAATTTCAATACACTTCCTTTAAATACGTGGAATGATCAAATGGGTATTCATATTTTAAAACTCAAGTAGAATACAGGTTGGTTGATGCTCAAACTATGCTTTATAATAATAAGTAATGAATTGGGCAAGGTATGTAAAATTTAAATTATCAGTATTAGTTTTGAACCGAGTATCACAGATACTTGGATTTAAAAGAAAAGCCAATAACAATAACAGTTGCTCCCATTGCTTCTACCTTTGTTCTAGCCATAGGATTATACGCTCTGCTAAATTTTCATCAGGATATTCTTTCCATATTTTTAATATTCCACCAAAAGATTGTAACACTTCATGAAGGCGAGCAGTATCTGATTGTAATTTATTGAGGACTTCGCAATAAGGAAGAAGCAATGAGTACAACGATTTTACTGATTGCCAGAAATTATCATTGAGCAAAATTGATATTATATCTCGTGGAAAGTAAAGTTTATCTAAGTTGGTTGAAGATTGACCTAATTCATCATCTGAATTTTGAGTTATACCATCCAAAGGAGATTCATGTATAGTAGCTAAATTCTTTTTTTTTAAAAAAACATATTATTGAATTAAGTTACTAGAGCTTTCAAAATGATTTTATTATTTTATTAACTTCAGAATTAACTATTTAGTAACTACGAATTAAATTTTCTTATAATATTACAGTATAATTTTAAAAAAGTATAAACTTACTCTCAAAGCCTGGCGGGATTTCATTAAACTTTTAAAGCAGTAGGCATAAGAATTCTAACGAGTATCTGCCAGGCAAACTAAGGTAATACATGTTTTATATATTTGAAATTGTATATCTCGAAGTTTTTCAATGAAATACAAATTAATTGTATGATTAAAATATGAAACTATTTTTAGGGCCTTTTTGGATGCGACTTTGAATTCGTTAGATTCTTTGAAGATTTCTCCTATAGCAAGATTGCATTGATGAGCAAAGCAGAGTAGAAAACCGATTTTTGGATATATTAATCTTAACCGATGTCTATTTAAAATATTAATTTTTTTGTTAATAACTAATGGTTTATTATTAAATCGATTTAGAACCTTTAAACAAAGATTCTTTTTTATTATTATTATTATTATTATTATTATTATTTTATTATTTATTTTTTATTTTACCTAGCACCAGAATATGCTGGGGCACTATTAGAAATGATAGCAGATAATTTGGCATCTAGATCTGATGCTTCATTAATCATAGATTCAATTTTGAAAATAATTTCAATCATACATTTTCTCTCTGAGCTTATGTTGGTTGCTTTCCAAATTAAAGTTTCTCCAGTTGATAAGATAAATAAGGAACCGAATATGTGTTGTTTTAAAATATTTTTCCATCCATCAAATGCTAAAGTAACTCCAATCTTATTATTCTTTAGTTTTTGTTCACGGGACTGGGTCAAAGTGAAATTTTCAGTGTTAAGAATACAATTAGATAAAGAATACCGACTAGAAAGAGTAAGTTTTGGGTTTAAAAATTCAAAGAATTCTAAAGTAGCTGGATCTGTTGTCCATTGAAAAGACCATCCATTTGAAATTGTCATCCAAAGTAACAGCTTTTCAAATTTTGGTTTCTCCTTTGTAGTAATGCCCTAAACAATAAAGTTTGTTACAGAAGCTGATAATGATTTTTGTTTGCTATTGTAGTTAGACACAGTAGAAGTGCTACTAGTCATATTACTTGCATTTTCATCGTCTTATTATTTAAAAAATAATAATTTTTTTTATCAATTTATTAATAATAATTTAATTTTTTTAAAAAATAAGGTTTTACCAAACATGTCTATGTTTTGACGCCTTTTTGCAATTTGAGAAGTAGATTCTTCTTCATCATCAGTTATGTTGCAATATGTATCTACTGCCTCTTGAGATCCTAGTTTAACATGAAAATGTGGGCATTTTTTTAAGTGATTACGAACTGTATTTTTTTTATTGGTCAATGATGATTTTAGAGCTTCATCGCAGCCAAGAGCATCATTACAAGCTTTACATACACCGTATGTATTGTGTTTATTTGTTGGCTTCGCACCAAGCACAATAATATCTTCAGTGAATCTATGTTTTTCAGAACCACCTGCATATCGTCATGCCATTTTGTATAATATTTTAATGAATTTTATACTAACAAGATAAGCAAGTTTTTTTTTTAAACAAAAAGCAATAGATAAAACTTTCGATTTGAAGAATGAACTTCTGAAGCTATATTTATTTATAAGCTTTTACAATTATTTGAAACTCAAGAAAAATATGCATGACTCACAAGCGAATTCATGATAAGCTGATTCTCACCTATATTTAAGGGTTAATAGGAAAAAATATGCACACTTGAATACATATCAGTCTATCTCCAGGCTTACCCAACAATAAATAATGGGACTGTCTTTATTCGTAACTTGCATTAAATCTTAATTTTGGTTATAAAGACCTGAGGTGCTGTGTTACATTTTAATTATATGAATGCCACCAAGGGAAAACATGCACATTTAAATATAACCTATATTTAAATGTGTATGTTTTCCTTTGGCGGTATTCATATAATTGTTGCTAAAATTCCTATTAAATTGTTTATTAGTATAGAAGGTTATAAAAGGAATTCTAATTTCCTTTTGAATTTTTGGCGCACATATTATATGTATACTAAAATTCAAAAAGAAAATTCCAATAGCAGGTGTTGTTAAAAGCTCTAAATGCATATCTTTCAATTTATCCAAAGTAAGTATTGTTCTTGTCATTGTCTTTATTCTCTATCTATTATATAATAATTTGTTTTTTGTTTAATTTTTCTATTTTAATTACGTTATTGATGTGATTGGCATGAGAATTCGAAGAATTTAGGCTACAAGGATGAAATCGCAAGTTTATTAATTAATGTATGATGCGATTTAGGCTAGTCACTTTTAAGTCTTAGATATGGTAAGTGTGCAGAACATCTTTTTTATTTTATGATTCGGAATCACAGCGATACTACTGTCAAGACCCCAAAGCCCCAAAAATAATCTATAAGAGTTGAATTATTACATGCTCTCAAAACTAAATTTGGAGATGATTTAAAAGAGATATCAAATAATGAAAAAAATCATAAATTATTATCGATTTCATACAATGATCAAAAATATCAAAGTAATTGGCAAAGGTGGGATATGTATGGTGAACAGATTTTGTATTATTTTGAGAGTTATCAGATTTGAAAACATATAATGGAAACAGGCTTGTTGGGCTAATTTTTTTCCAGATTTGACAGGTTATCGATTTTGGAATGTTCGACAGTTTGTTTGAGATATTCAATAGGCCAAAGTTTGGGACTTCGGCACGAACAAATCTAAACTATATTAGTTTAGAATTTTGTTGAAGTTAATATAAGCGATTTATTTCTAAGACTAGATACTTTTGGGCATTAATATATAAGACAATATCATGGACCTTAATTGTTTTGTTTTAAATATGTGAAGCTGTGTTATAATTTAAACATTATAATCAAATAAAGTTTATTACGTATAAAAGAAATTTGTATACATTATTGAATTATTTTAATTATTAATTTTTCGATTTGTTAATGCACAGTATATGTGCCAATGTTTTTGCATGGGTATATAAATAATCTGTGGCCTTTGGCCACAGATTATTCACTTTATATCTATAAAATCTAACCCGAATATTAGAGACATCAATTACTAGACATCACTGGACATCACTGGAACTTCTATCCAGTAGTAAAAAAAAGTTAACTGGAAGGTCTAGTGACAACTTAACACTGAAACTACTATATCTTCTAATTCTATCTAGTAAATTCCAGTTAACTTTCTAGTTCTAGCAATTATCACTAGACCTTCCAATTAACAACACTGTTTTAGATGACAAAGAAATCAAGAGATTCACACAAGAAAGAATTCTGGTTTTAGAACAATTATTAGACAAAGAAGATATAAATTTGTTTATATGAAACTAGATCAAAAGGTATAAGAAGGAGAAAGCAGCCAGAAAATCCCCCAACTAGTTTAAAAAAATTGAAAAAACAGTTCTTGAAGATCTTAGAGGAAGAAGAGTTAGATCTAACTTGAGAAAAAGATTGCCAAACTGCCTAATACTCCAAGTAAATATTTCTCCAATAAGTAACAACAAAAGAAAAAAGGAATAGGTGCTAATTAGATCTAGCAATGCAGTAAAGATAGGAAGGATTGTGGAAAAGAGAGAGAAGAAAACAGCTATAACAGAACATTAAAAGGCAACTTCTGACTCTGTTAAGAACATATTCATACTTATAAAATGTAAAGAATATAAGAAGCAGAAAGCAGCAAAGCAGACTTCGCTTGTACAAAGAGAAGTTAGAAAAGCAATTTACTAACAATAAACCCAAGATTTATTTAGAAAATCTACTTTTAGAATGAGAGACGAGAACTTTGTATTCCATTAAGCTGCTTTATAAGCCTATATTAGCAAATGAGCCCATCTATAAGTAGAGAAGAGGGTACTTAGAAGCAATAAGTTAAAAGTATCACAATTATTCAATAGAGAATAAGGTAATAGATCAAGCTATCAAAAGCATACAAGTAGCAGAGAAAATTAAAAAAGCGGTAGCCAAGCTAAAAAGTAAAAAGAAGATCTCCTTTTATACAGATGTGTTTCTACTTAATCTAGCAGAGGAGCCAGGAAAAAAGAAAATAGGTCTTGGCTGGGTTGCAGTCTTAGGAAAAGGAAATAAAGCCAGTAAATAAATACTAGCTAACTTTCATAAGACAATAAAAGATTGGCTATTATTAACAAAAGCAAAACTTGGTGCAATATAGACAGCCCTTCTAGCAGTCTTGTGCAAAACCTAAATTAAGATCTGTACTGATAGTGCAGCAGCAATACAGGCAGTGCAGGAAAGTCAAAAGGAAAGAAGAGCTTCTGAAATACTAAAAAGAAAAAACCTTTGTTTATTGGAGCAAATAAAGTGAACTATTAATCTAAAAGAGCTTAAAATCTATTTCAAAAAAGTTAAAATACATAGTGGAGTAAAAGAAAATAAAGAAACAGACAAGCTCACAAAAAAAGGTGTTTATAGTACAGAAATAATCAACCCGAGATGGCCATGGAACAAATATATAGCAACAGAGTTAAAATAGAAAGACCTGAAAGTAGATAACTCAACATGAAGCTTTATTATATGATTAACAAAAGCCACTATTAATACTGAGTAAAAAAATCTCAAAAGCATAATTAAATAGGTTGAGGCTGAGCAAAAAACAAAAGCAATCATGTGGAGTAAAGTATAGAAAGACATAGGGCAAGTATGAAAAAGTAATTGCAGAAGCACAGCCCAAAATAAAGAATAGATCTTCAAGATAAAGTGTTTAAACAGCCTACTTCCAACAATGCAAGTCCTAAATATGAGAAAGACAGAGCTATACTCAGATAATATATGCAAGATATGCTAGCAAGAAGCTGAGATACAAAATCATCTTGCTACTTGCCTAGAATTTCAAAAAATATAGTATATCTTAGAAGAAGAAATAAGTGAATTACTTATAAAAAAGGTGACAAAAGAAAAGAGAAACTCAAGACCAGGGATATACAAAAGATACAAAATCTAATTTTCAGCACGGATATATAGGAAAGAATCTCAGCAAGAATTGAGCTAATAAAGAGATTAATTACAGAACAGAGATGGAAGAATATAAGCATGATCATAAGTAAAGCAAGAAAGGTTAGCAAGTTTATTCAAGTTATACTCAACTATTTTTAGTACCAGTTTTTCAAGCACTTTTGGAGCCTCTGATACGAGTTAGTAACAGATTGGGAGAAGTGTAATAGCATAACCAAAGAGAAGAAAAGAGAAAAGGCTAGAAAAAGAAGACCTAAAAGAAATAATGAAGCAGATAAAAAAAATACTGACCCTCAGACTACTGATTATGAGAAAGAAAGAGTAGAAGGTAAAAAAAGGAGGAAAAAGATAGAGGTATCAAAGAAAAAAGACAGAATAATTGAAGATTGGGTCTTATGGGAAAAAAGCTAACATGGTTCTCACTAGCCAAGACTTAACAAAAACAATAGATATTTCTGACAAGGCATATAATGGTCTATTTATAATCAAAGAAGGTATTAGTTATAGTACAAAATTCTTAGTAAGTTAAGGATCCCAAAAGAGATAAACAATTGTTATGGCAAGTCATATTGGGGTTTTAACCTGGTGAGTCTTTATTGAGTTAGAGCAACAAGTTGTAAAGATTTAGTACATCTGTATATAAATTTTATAGCAGTTCATATGAATAAAGGCAGGATCACTTAAAAAAATATATATATATATACTATATAATATAAATTTTTTTTTTAAAAAAATAATAACGGCCTGTAGGTCGATAGCATAGCGGTTATGCTCTAGGTTACAAATCATAAGGTTGCTGGTTCAATTCCTCCTAGTGGCGAAATAATGAAAAACCAAATATGGAAATAAAACACCAAGGGGTATAGGGAACCCGGGATATTTACGGATAGACATATTTGGGGAATAATTATTCCAAGAAGCTGTGGCTGTGAAGAAAGCTGTGCTAGAACTCTGATTTGGAATAACCGAAATCACAAGACGTAATGTGAGGCCTAAGTCTAGATATTACAGATACTACATGAACTCGGGATGCAAGCAGTCCGAAAATTGGCTATGAAAGATTTCCAGCCACTACGGCAGTCAGTGCAACAGGTCGCTTCTGGGCGGCATAAATGCAAACCAGGGAAAGTCAGGTTATATTGGTGGAAATAAATGATAATAACTATGGTTGTTATAATCACTAAAAAAGTGATTTCGACAAGAATGTCAAAGAAAAAAAAACTTAGTAAACAAAAGAATTCAGATCACGTGACTTGTGCAATGATTTTAACCAATCAAGTCACAGCACTGTATTTTTTTTTTACTTGACTAGTGTTTTTTTTTTTTGGCTCTACATGGAATCCAAGGAAGCGACAAGCCTCCTAGAAAAATAATAATATTTTAATAAAAAAATAAGGGTGCTGACATTTATTAGGTAATATTTTAAGAGGTGGGTCAAGCAAAACCTTACCTTATATAAAACAATTATAGCCAATTAAATTTAGCTAAATACCTTACCTGGGGGGTAAGCCTCTATAGTAAATAAATATTAGGTAATAAATATCAGCACCCTAACTAAACACATAATAATTTAATAAATAAATAAATAAAAATATATATAATAATTTAATAAATAAAGAACAATAATTTTTTTAAAAAAAGCAATAATTTAATATAAGGCAATAATTTTTAACAATAATTTAATATAAAAAAAAAAGAAATAATTTGATTTTTTTTAAAATAATAATAATTAATTTTAAAACCTAGACAATGCCTAGGTTCTAAACTAATATAATATAGAGAATTAAAAAAAAAAATTAGAAATCTTAGACCTGGATCAATGACTGGTTCTAAGAGCTACTTTAAATATTTAAACCTAAGAATTAGAAAAAAATTAGAAACTCGAACCTGAGCAACGCCGGGTAGTATAAGGTTTTTGGAGGTGCTGAACATTTTTACTTAGAATACCCGGCATTAATTATATAGCTAGCTTTTGAGATATACGTAGCTAATGTTTGGCACAATTTGACAGTCAAATATTTATATATACATACGTAATATGTAGTATTCGTATAACCTGCACTTGTTTGATGTCCGACTTAATCACAAGCATTTGACTGTCAAATTTTTGTTCGATTGTGCCAAACACTAGATATAGCGATTGTAGTGTTGAACACCACTGGCAAAACCGTAGTATGTTATACTGAAGATTACTAAACAGCAAATATACAGTATATATACACAGTATACTAGTTTACAAAAAAATATTATAACTTTATATTAAATAATTTTAAATAATTTTAATTAATTATTGTTATTGTTATGTAGTCTTAAAATTTAACAATATTGAATGGTTTTTTCTTTTTTTTTGCTACGTATCCGGTACTATGTCAATTACTCAAGAATATATAAATATAAATATATATATATATATATACTGTATATATATATATATAATTATAAATAACATATATATACAGTATATATACGGTATATATATATATATATATATATAAGCCAAGAACATATATTTATTATCGAAGCATAGAACAACCTAATACAGTACCTACTATATATATATTTATTAAAACGGTATATATATATATATATATAATTAAAAGAAGTACTTGCATTAATCAAGATTTACACAAAGATTTGAGTAACTTGTACTAAAAATATGAACCATAGTTACAAATCTATATATTGTATGTAACTATATATGTAGTCATTCTGTTTGTAAATAAATTAAATAAATTTAATATAATCTAAAATTCGAACTGGTGTTCAATAAAAATACAAAATGTAAGCAGTTAAAGTACTGGTGAAAAAATTTTTGAATAAACTACAGTGTGTAAGTACTTATGTCTGTACAAGATAAGTACATACGTACGAGATTGAAAATTATTATTTTGTAATCCAGATTTTCAATACTCTTTAACCCCTTGCCAAGCTCTTTTTTGTACGCGAATTTTAACAATTAAAGATGTAACACAAATCAAATTTTTTTTAATTAATATTTAAAAAAAAAAAAGAAATGTTAATTTTAAAAATTACGTTACAAATACGTAATTATTATTTTCTATATAAGGATTATAGTTCTTGTAATTGTAAAGATACGTACGTACGTTATAAAATCGAAAAAAAAATTTTAAATCGAGTATTTTTTTTTTAGATCATGCACGTGAAATAGACAAACTTGTAATTCGCATTCTTCGTACACAAATATCAATTTAATATTTAGTATGCATTGAACATAGTCCAGTATTAGCATTAGATAGAGATTATGTTACACGTAAGCTATCTTCTTTACTGCTAAATGATGTATGAACTGAAAATCGTATGTACGCACGCACGCACGCACGCACGCACGTACGTACACAAGACGATAGATTCAACAGTTTAGATGGGAAAAGACGGATGGACTAATTGTAGAAAAAAAATTATGAATTTGTTATTATCTATAATTAATAACCAAAATTTAATACAACCTACTCAATTAATGGTTTGCAATTTTAAAATTAATTCGAATAGCATTGAAATAAATTACATTAAAGAAAAAAAAAAAAAAATTTTTTTAGTATTAAAAAAATTTTTTTTAATATGATAATTCTTATACAAATGAATAACGTGGTTATTTTCCTATAAAGAACATCTAAATAAATAACTTATTTGCCCTCACACATGCAAGTTGATTTTGTAATGTCCATCCATTAATAAAGTATTACAATAGGGATAATCAATAGTAACAAAATTTTATGCTACATCCAATTTATGAAATGATTTTGATCTATAGATTTATACTGTATATATTTTAATTATATCCACCATATGGCTGCTGAGGAGGATAAGCATTATTATAACCACCCTGTGGTTGCTGAGAATAACCATTAAATCCACCTTGCGGTAATGGAGGAGGATAATTGCTACCATAATTCGCGTAGGGTTGATCTTCTTCAAGTAATTCTTTCACTTCCCACACATTTTGTTTGCTACCAACGGAAAATTCAAGATCTTCTTTGGTGATAGAATCCCAATATTTATAAACCATCATCACACCTAAAAGTGTACAAATTGTTCCAAAGAATAGACCATCTATATAATGCTTGGCAGTATCACATATCTTAACGGAGAATAGATAAAGGATAACTTGGCCAATGACATAGAAAGAAATACCAAACAAAATGTCACCAAGTGGCCAGCGATCATCAAGAGTATTAAGAACAAGAACTATTTGAAGAATGAAATAGATTGCAAGTGCAGCACCATTAAAGATGTATAATACAATCCATAAAGGTAGAGGATGTAAAGGACTGAATCCAGCAATATTACGGAATGTAGCAAAGCTTAGACCAAAAACGGCTAAAAAAATTACAAGTGAAGAAATTCGAATTGACTATAAAAAAAAATTTTATATTAGTATTAGAGTAAACAAAATAAAATAAATTTTAATAAAAAAAGTTGAATTCGGTTTACCCAAAGCGAAAGTGGTGTACCATCTTCGGCAAATTGAAAACCGACGAATCCATTTAATAGTAAACACCAGAAAGTGGCTGTGATAAGACCAATATGACCAGCAACAAAGTACTAAAGAAAAAAAAAAAAAATTAGTATTAAAATATTAAAATTTATTTAATTTTTTACGTTTAAACATTAAATTTGAAAACTTACAGGATAAACGTTAGATGCGGCAGGAACAATTCCGGAAACAAGTAATAATTCTAGGAAGGTGACCATCATATACAAATAAAAAAACATAACAATTTCTTTCCGACCTATATAAATAATTTCGATAAAAATATTAAATATTCTGAAATGCTTGCTCACCTCTAAAATAAAATAATTATAATATTATACGAACCAACAGCTGTGTATTTTGATTTTATATGATAAATCATGATGGAGGTCATAACGAGTGCGATGACATGGATAATAATGGTTGCTTTAAAAAATGACCGAGGCAATATAAATTTTAAGGTCAAGTTAGAAACACTTAAAATAAAAGTAAAAGGTATAGAGTATTTACCAGGTTGGAAAATTAGCGTTCCAGCGATTTCAACGTTTCTCGAATAACATTCTGGTTCAATTCCTTCTTCACGTCCTACAAGCGGGCATACAGTGAGAGCAACTGTCTCACAGATTGTAGTAAAATCTCCAAAGACAGAAGGAGTAGACATTATTTTAAATAAATTTTAATTTTTTTCGATGTTAATGTAAAATAGGGAGGTAAAGAATGTAAAGAATGTAGTTTTGGGGTGGGTGAATAGAGATAAATTTTTTTTTTTTTAGAACCTTTTTAAAACGATATAAAGGAAAAAAATCTCTTCTTCCCCTTTTCACGTTATAAAAATAATGGGCGTTCTTTTTACAAGAACAGTTTTTCAAGGAAGTTTTTTTTTTCGGAAGACGAGACGAATAATTTAAATTGGTACAGGAAAAGCTGGTTTTATAAATTTAAGTCAGCACGTAATGCACCACAGGAATTTGTACCAAATGAAAAGACTACCTATACCAAAATTGGTACATGATCGAGTGATCGGCTAAGTCCTTTTGCACCTTTTGCAAATAACGATAATTTGTTTTTGGGAAACTGTTATTATAATATATATATAGTTTGCGTAACTCGTAATTTCTCCATGCAGAGTCACGCGAATCAGATGTCTTGCGTTTAAGTGCTCATAAATTACTGGTTAATACAATTACATGATAGGTCGCTTCGAAATTTTATTAATAAATCACAAAGAAAGTTACGGTATGAGTATGCAGCTACAAAATAATATACCGAGATCGACCAACGTAAATTTCAAATTAAAATATTTATATAACTGGAATTCTGCATTTCATCGCTCTTTCTCGTCTTTCTTATCACGTTTACTTATCACGTGGTTCTTTAGATAAATATTACGTGTTGTTGTCCTTTCATCTATTACTATATTTTGAATTAATAAAAAAATTTTTGCGAAGTACTTCATACAAAGTGATATTTGAACTTAACTATTCAGTTGTTTTCATTAGAATTGAGTGATATTCATTTAACAAGAGCATTAAATTGAAATGCGAATCAGATTCAATCTCTAACCATCCAGCAGTAAATGGGCTAAACAATATCTATTTTTTATGACTTTGGTCATTAAAGTTGAGACCTAAACTTATTAGTTCGAATTGCTTTTTGCCACGCCATGAGTAATTCATTTATTAATTAACAATTAGGGACGGGTTAATAAACGATGGATATAACTAATATGATAACGGTTTTTTATTTAGGCATTCTACTCGAATTTCGAAGAAAACATTCACATTTATAATTGTTTTTCCACTAATTATGTACTGTACATATTCGATATAACTATTAGACCTAATACCATATATCACTTTATCAACATATCCTGTCTAGTCGTTAAATCAATTAATTTTTCTTAACCTAAAAATGAAAATAACAAAGTTTTAGTAATTCATAACTTTGATTTAACTATATGGGACATATATTTGGGTTTTGATTTTCCCAAACCCAAACTATGTAGTAATATCATAATTCAAAAAAAAAAAAAAAAAAGGGTTGATTGCAACTAGAGGTCTGCACGGCCTGATAAAAAAAATTTTTTTTTTTTCGCCGCCCCGCACGGCCCACAAAATAAAATTTACTATGTTTCTAAAAATTTGGCACGTGCCTCTAATCACAACCCTGTTGATCATACAATCACGACTTTTACTTCGTAGTAAATTTAATGCCGCAGTTGGTGCTGAAAATGGATAATGTTGAAATGCCACAAATGTCTCAATCATCGGTATATCAAAACTAGAGTTGCAGATTAGCCCGAATTATGCTTTAATTTCCCATCAATATATATTTCGATTAGAGTTGTAGATGAAACTAACTTTAAGTTTCACCATGGTTCAACCTGAGTTTCTCATTGGTTATTACATTTAGTTTCACCAGTTTCATCAGCATTCATCAGTTTCACCCAACCCAAGTAGAGTTTTTCAGCATCAACCGTAACAAATTAGGGAGTGTCATTTGTCATCTGGTTTAGGGGGTAGGGGGGTTACGTGCGATAGTTGTATTTCTAAGAGTTACGAAGATCAGTATGGTATGGGGTATAGAACAGCCCGAATTTAAAATCGTACCATACTGATCTGATGTTAGGGTTAGCGATTATAGCTGATCAGTAGGATATGGTTTTAATTTCGGCCCGTACCATACTATTCGGTCACTCGTACCATTTCCGAGGGGGAATGTTTACTATTTACAAGAAATCAGGTGATAAATGACACTTCCCTTACCTATATATGACCAAACTGAACGTTTGCTTGGGATAGAGTTTGGAACCGGTTTATTTTTCATATGCTAAACCCGGTTTAAATCGGTTTAACCGTTTTAACATATGAAAAATAAAACTGGTTCCAAACTCTAACTTGATTTCGTGACTGGTCATAAATAAAAAGTCATACAAGTCACTGCATTCTAACGACTAACCTTTAGAAGGCCTTCGTACAACTTATTTAGTCCTTGTATACTCAATTCTAGTCCTTGTTTGGTTAATTCTGCACCTCTATTTGTTGCTTGTTCCTGTGCCATTCCTAATACTTTGTCAATATCTTTCTCATGGCGTGTAAAGATTGGAACAACATAAGAATCGTAGATACGTGTGGCTCCCTAACGTAATCGATTTTAAAAATTTTAGTATAATCAATTGCCAAAGTAATGTATTAATCTGATTTGTTTAAAATTTTAATTTTTACTTGTGTTTGCGGAAGGATCAACCATAGCACGAATATCATTTTTATTTCGTAATAAAAAGGGAACCTAGAAAAGGATTGATATTTGATTATCATAATGGTGAACAGAATAAATCAATTTGATAATTTAAACGTGCCAAAAGATAAAATTATCTGCAGTCCCTTCTCCTACTGAGAACAAAGCCATAACAATCCAGTAAATCAACCATGACATTATACTTTTTGTATCATTCGCTTTAATTGCTTTGAAAGAGGCATATGCCGGATATAAGTGACCTGCAACACTACTACAAAGAATAAGTACTTAGTACCATTTATCAAAAAGTTGAAGATAACTGTAAAATTTGTGAAGAATGTTAAACTCACATTACGATTCTGTACATAAAGTAACCAAACATCTTATTGCAACTACGTTGTCGTCGGTGTCGTTGATATCGTCAGTGCGTTAGCGTCGTCGATCTAGTTTTTTAGCTAGCTTTTTAATAATTTATTTATTTGTAAATGGGCTGAAATTAAATGACAGTTGGAGTACATAAGTCCATTAAAGAAGAAAGGGAAGAAAAAGTAAAAAAAAAGGGAGAAATAATAGGAGTTAAATCAAGGAAGACAAGGAAGCGTATTATATATGAAAGTCAATGGTCATGAAACTGCGGAATTTTATACTCCGATCAGATGTCACACCAGTGTTCAAAAATTTTCCGAAAATCTTAACTGTTAATTAGAGGGATTAGCCTTAACTGAGAAAAAAAAATTTCATTTATGTACCTTTATTGATATTCTTATTTGCATTCTAGTAGTGATTGTTTAAAAAACAGTGTCACGAAATGTTTTTGTTCTATGTGTTTAAGAAACTCTCTTTAAGAAAGCATTTGAATTTCCGATTTTATACTACCTACCGTATATCACGGAAGGTATCGGACTCTAGTTTGTCACACCAGTTGTCATTTATATCCTTATCCTTTATTGTCAGTTTTGAACATAAATAAAAAAATCGAATAAGAAAGTTTAAACCTCATTGGCTTCCAAATGTCTCAAATGTCTTCGTCCGACGAAGAGATTGTCATAAAACGACAAGTTGTTAAGATTAAGCCGCGAACGATAATAAAATCGCAGCCACGACACGTTGAATTAACTCTAAATGATAACACCAATTCACAAAATGTGTCCGATTTACCTGATTCACCTAGTAAACCGAAAAAAGCAAAACTTTATGACGATGAGGACGGCTTCTTTACACGATCTTCCTCTTACGTGTCCATTAAAAAAACAAGTTTGTATTCGTGTTAACTGTATCCATTTTTGGGTGATTTTTTTATAAATGATATTTACACCTTTATTTCACGTGTCATAGAGACTGTAAAAATTCTCAAAGAGTTAGAGGAAAATAATTTTGATGATGACGATGATGATTTATCAAGATATAATGAAAAAGGTACTCGGCGTAAACGTTCAAGACCTAAGGAAAAAACTTCATATTTGGATTGGACATCCGACGGTCCAATCGATATGGATAATAATAGCGATCACATAAATGATCTTTCGTAAGTATATTGTAAATAAATATTATTACTCGTATGTTATGATGAAATCAATTTCATGTGATTTTGTTGGACATTCTTAGAGATTATTCGGATGAGACTATGGAAAGAAGTGAAGCTAATGACAGAAAAAAAATTTCGGACCCGATAGACAGAGAGCCATCTTTAACACCACCACCCGAACTTAACGAATATCAACTGAGAACTACGGTTGGCACGCTAAGGTATCTCCCTGGATTGTTTGTTCATTAAATTTGTTATTTTTTGCTGATATAATTTCCCGGATAGAGCGACACTCTCACAATATTCAGAAGGGCTTCGATCTGAAAGTGCCGACATCGGTTCACCAAGCATATCTTACGAGCCACAGGATGATATAGAATTAGATCCTGAACTTTTAGCTATTCAACAGTCTATTAAACAGCCAAATGGAAAATTAAACAGATACGTTGATGCTAAAGTTGAGATAACAGTATTTCCTGTTCGTCATCCGACGGATATCCAAACTATGGATGCAAACAGAACCACTCAGACTGAATTTGACAAGCCTATTAAATTTATCATGAAAGCGGTGTGTATTTATTACCATGCCGTTGAATAGAAAAGAATTTCAATAATGTACAATATATTTAAGCATCTTTTATATCATTATTACATTTGATTTTAGCAAGACAATTTCGAGCGAATGATAAAGAACATATGTGAAAAAAGAAATATAGGGAAACAAGATATAGTGTTGACGTATAAAAAAGTAAAAGTATTTCCGCGTAGCACGCCGGAAAGTTTAGGAATGTCTGGTCAAGCACATATGGGTACATGTTTTATCTTACATAATTTTATTCCAAGATCTGTATTAATCATATTCTATATATTTAGAGGTATTCACAAAAGACACATATAACTATTACAAAGAACGGAATGACTTATTAAAACATAAAATGTTAGAGGAAATAGAGAGAGAATCAAAATTGTTATCGGATAATTCCAATGAGTCCGATTTTGATAATACAGCAAAAATATTTCAACCGGATATTGATTATATTCATCTAAAGTTGTTGAGCAAAGATGAATCAATCGAAAAGTTGAAAATAAAAAAGGTATTATACACTTTTTATTTTACATTTATTTATCTACTTACTAATCAACATAAGTATTTTGTTGTTATTAGACTTTAACAGTACAAGCTGTTATTGACCATTACAAAAAAATCAAAAACATCCCGGACGGTGTTCAGATGAAATTGATGTTTGAAGATGCTGTGCTATCTGTTACTGATATGCTGGGGAATACTGATTTGGAGGATGGTGATATGTTGTCCGTCGTTATTCATAATTCATAATTGTTAATAAAGTTTGGATTTGTATTGTTGACTTTGAGACTATAATATTTCGAACACGAAAAGGGTCTTTAGCATTTTGTTGGATTTGATATGACCAGGTAAGTAATTTAAAAGTTCGTTTTAACGCATAATATATTCATATCAAATAAATATATAATATTAGGTATATTGCCTATTAGAGAAATGTCCAAATTAATAACTAGTAATAGGTAATAATATTATTTGTATGTTCTTACTACGAATGTATTATGAATAGTTCTTTTTATATTACGACACTGTTTGATAAAAATAATAGTTGTCATTTGCAAACATTATTTTTCTTATAAATACTATTAAATGTAAATAAATATTTTGCCATATGTGGGTTGCTCAGAAAGTTTGACACTAGTTAATTATTTTAGTCATTTTTAAAATTCAAAATATATACAACTACTAGTTGTAATAATTAACAATAAAATTTTAGCTAACTTTAATTTGATAGTATTTAATAAAATTAATAAAAATTATTTTTATTTTTAAAATTTATATTAAATATATATATTAAAAATTTCTATATAAAAAATTTTATATATTTAAAATAATAAATAAGTTTTATAAGCTTAAGTTTATAAATATCTTGTAATAAATTACTATATAGTAAATAAAGTTTTTTTTTTATAAAAATGATTTAATTTTTTTTAATTAAATTGAATTTAAAAATCTTATTTAAAAAAAAATAATTACTATAAAATTTGTATAAATTTTATTTATTTTAACTAATGTTTAATTTTTTGTAATTTTTTAATTTTTTTACTATATTTAAAATAAAATTTATTAAATTATCTAATTTAAAATAGGTAAAATTAAAAATCAATTTCTTAAAAACTATTTAATTAAAGTTAAAAATTTTTACATATTCAATATAACTATATAGTAGTTTTTATATAAAATAATTAACTAGTCAAACCTTTTTACGTAATCATGCTCCAAATCCCGTAACGGACCCACCTACGCCGGCTTGTTGGCCCCTCTTTTGTAATGCCTCTCCGACTTTTGTATTAACTTCAAAATATTTGGCGACACATCGATCGATACAAACGGATTCACCTTTATTTAATTCACTATCGATGTATTTTGGTGGAATGCATTTTTTATAACACGAATCAACAATCCTATTATTTGAATTATTTAGTTTGAATTATTTGTGAATTAAAAAAAATTTGTATATTTACCTATAAAATGTATCAGTAATCATATCTAATTCATGTTCAGCCATTGCTACATTTTGTGCGTTTACAGTTTGCTGTTGTGAAGAGCCGCTACCAAAAGGATAGAAAGACATTTTTTTTCTTTTTTTTTTTTTGATTTACGTATCGAAAAAAATAAAGATATCAATATATTTTGATTATCAATTAATAGGCCTACTCTAATTTCCGATCAATTATTTTGTTGCACACTTTTCAAATTGGGAAAAATCTTTATCATAATAAGTTAATTTCTGGCTTGATTTTGATTGGCTAACGTTTGTGATCTACAAAATTTTGGCCCATACTTATATAATTCAGTAATTGTTTATATAATTTTCGGCCGGAATTAACTTTGAAACTAGCTAGTGTTTTTCTCCTAGTACCCACGGGAACTGAAAGTTATTTATTATTAAGTTAATGTAAATCCGTACAAGTCAGCTTCTTGGCGGGTCACGGGTCAAAAAATTGGGTTATACGGGTCATGGATAACATGGATAAAATTCAGTGATCCAGTATTTCTGAAGTAGAAAATAGATGAACTCACAAGGTTAAGTTTTGGTTACCCGGTTTAAATATTTGTTATATTAATATAACAGGTAACTAACAGGTACAATATAAAAATTGTAAAGTTCTATAAGCGCTACTCTTTAAACCCTTTGGAGTAATTTATATAACTACAGTAGAATTTGATAAATAGAAAAACCCATGAGCCGTAACTCTGGTCAAATTTGCAGATCATTTGACCAGCTTTGAAGTCAAATGATTTCAAACCAGGCCTAATGATCTGCAAATTTGACCAGAGTTACGTCTCATCGATATGTGATCCGGATAATGCTCTAAATAAGAGCAACTTTACGTTAGTGTTAATTCTAAAATCTTTATGGTTTTCTGTATGACCCGTTAATGACCTGAGCCAACATAAGACTCTATTTTCTGACCCATGTGATAGCTCAAATTGAGTGGTCAATGAAGTTAATTGAAAAATGACTTGTTAAAATCTCATTTCTATTTTTTTTTTTTAGAATTCCGAATTAGAAATTAATAGGCGTAGTGGTAAAATTGGCTTTTTTTTGATAAACATTCACCAATAAACAGTTGTATACACGAATCTAGCATAACCGGAGTTAGAATTAATAAGTCTACATTTTCGATATCTTCAGGTTCTAGTACTTTCTTGTATTAAGTTGATGGTATATACTGTATTTTTAAAAAATAAAATTTGTACGTACATCTCTTTTGAATAAATGCGTCACTTATTTATTTGAAATTGTAACTCACCTGGCTAGTTTAAACATTTCTGACTAATTAAAATTTTGCTTCCGATCGAAGTGTTTGAGAAAACCCTAAATTTGTATAAATAAGAAATTACAGCTGTTTTCATAATTCGAAAGAAAACTTTGCTTTGCTTCAACTTTAAGCGAAGATTTCTCAACAAATATCTAACCAAAATTGATGAAATTTTTTATTTTAATTTTACATGTTTGTAGAATCAAAATAAAAGTTTATCAAACTTGGTTATAGGGTTTCTAGGTTCAGTTCAGTTCAAGTTCAGGTTCAATGAACCTGAACTGAACCTGAACCTGAACCACAAATTTTGCAGATCTTTGAACCTGAAC